TAGGGCACATTATAGCCGTAAGGAGGATTGGTTGTTTAACACAACTTTCCTTTACAGCTTTGCCAACCGCCGCAACCTCTAGTACTTCTTGACTCTAATTTTTAGTACTCTAGCCCTCGATCTGAAAGGCTTGTGTCGTCGGGAAGCTTCAGCCGTGATCTGCTTATATTCCTACCGAAAAGTCACCGATGGCGCAAATTCGTCGCAGCGATAGCTCGGTGAAATTGAAGCAAGGACCAACGTCCTACGTGGCACTGCTAATTCTGAAAGCTCGCCGTCACTTTGCTGATAAATACCAAAAAGAGTAGGGCATGAGGGAAAGCGAGAAAGTGTGGAAGATGAACGGTTAATAATACTGGCACATAGCGGCCTTGCTCTGTGTGAGGTGAATAGGCCCGCAGTTGCAGTAGCGTGCCTTTTAGGATATATATACTCTATACTTCTCCATACAAACGGAACCGAAAGGGGACGGGGGTTTAGCGAGTCCAGGGTATCTTTTCCTTACTCTGCTCCTTCGCCCGCAATGCAGCACGGCCAGCCATACGTCTAACCATAGAAAAACCCGCTACTTGCCCGCGCCGACTCAATTCGGGTTCTCTACTTCTGACTGTGTGTCTACTGCGCAATTGTGGTCTCGAGGCTAGTGCTGCACTTTGGGGATAGCGCGGGGTTAATCGGAAGCGCCTCTCGGGTACCACTACCCTTCAGCTCTGTTCTCCTGCAGAAAAAGGCAGGTTACTGCACTTGCGAGCCCATTCTTCCCTCACATGGCAAAGGCAGATCGCAGGAGACAGTGTACAATTAGTCGTGAATTGTAGGAGATCATCTCTCCGGAAGAAAAGCCAACTGTACTGTGAATATTGATTGCAGTTACACTCGAAATCCCTGGGATGCGGTAGGCGTGGCTGCGACTTCAGCTAAACGTGGCGGTGTCTGTGCTTCTGGTGGGGATATTTTCATTTTGAACAATTGTGGTCATGTCTCTGTCTACCACAGAACAAGATAACGATTATTACAAGTTAAAGTATCCTACGAGGAACCCTACTTTAAGTCATCACGCCTACTCCGCTCTAAGGATGAGCGAGGGTACCTTGTGGCTCGCGCACTGACCGACCGGGATGCTCACTTCGGTTGAGAGTCTTCTATTACAATGATGGCTAGCGCTGGTCGTTCTCTTGATCCCATCTCACAACCATCGCTAGATATCGCTCAGCACATGCCGTCTTTCCTCTCCTGAACCCTTAACTCCAGCATAAAAGATGGCTGCCGCTACATACCGTTGCAGAAATGGCAACCTCGATGACCCAGATTTCCCCTCCCTTTCCTAATTACTATTGGGTAACTGAGAGCGTCTCCTCTACCAAGCAGCACAAATACGATTACCCTCACTGAGGATTTCTTGAAGGCAAAGCCCGCGATCATTCGTCAACACAGATAGTGATTTAGTGGGTTGCATATAGACGACAAGGTTTGAGTAACTCGATAGTGAAGAAAAAAAAGCAGAAAACATGCCAACTGCCCTAGATAGAACCCCATTCCGATCCCAGTTTGTACGTGCCCATTAACTCCATCTCCAACACTACGCCCTCATCCGCACAGCTGATTCCCCGATAAGAACTCTACGACCGTACAAGTGACGATTTTCATGCTTTTTCGTCCTGCAGCTTCGTTTTTCACTGAAAGGCGGAGTCTGGAGGCGGAGTCACTGGAAAAAAGGAGGCGTCACTGAACCTATATTGCGCCATAGCACCCCTCTCTTACAATTTTTCGCCGCGAAACCGGTACGAGTTGCGGTAGGGTTGGTCGCCGTGGACCACCTTACCATCCCATCACCATCCTTTCAACTTTTATACCTGACCGCGGACCGTGCCTTTAACTATACCCGCTTGCCGTAGACGCTGCACTTAAGAATTTCAGGTCAAATGATGCCTGTGAACGAAGGCAACTACATCATTTTCCTCTGTTCGCCCCATGTCACTAAAGTGAGAGACTTTGTGGATTTGAAACTTTACCTCTCCGATATGCCAATGTACGATGCGACACGTGATCTTGTCATGCTTAATCAGAGTCGAATATGCCAGATGGAGCTCAAGTAAGATACTTTTGATTGATAACCTCTCGAAATCGTAGAGAAAGTTAGGGCAAAAACATTTTCACAGCCTTCCAACATTGGTTCTTATTTCAGTAGCTTTGTTCTGAAAAAGAAACCAATATTGGAAGGCTGTTAGCAAGCGCTACTTTTTGCTGCCCATTTGACCTTGAGTTTTCAGCAAACGGCTAGAAGAAACAGTCCGTCAAC